CTTCTCCAAAATCTCACAGCACATGTTGTTTCCATCCTGCCCCCTCAAGCTGGCTTTAAATCACAGCTTCCTTGTATTGTTACTTATCTGTTTAACAGATGTCATGTTCCCAACTGAATTGTAAACTTTTAGAGATCAGTCACCATGTGTTATGCTTTTTTTTTTTTGTATTCCCCCTCCAGTGCTGGAGTTAGCACTAGATACATACAAAGAAAAAAGAGGCCATCCATTGTCAGCTCCCTTTTCTCAAATCTACATCTTAAATCTCTTTAAAATCCCCCGTTCTCCTTTCATTTGCTTTAGCCTCAGGAGAAGAGGTGGCTCTTCTCCTGCCAATGCCAACCCCTCTACTTCTGCCTTTGATCTCATCCCCCTTCCAGATTTTCCCTTTTGATGATCTCTTCTTATTCTAGGACAGCTACGTGGTGCAGTGGATAGAGTGCCCCACCTAGAGTCAGGAAGCCTTATCTTTATGAGTTCAAATTTGGCACCAGACACTTACTAGCTGTGTGACCCTGGGCAAGTCACTTAACCCAGTTTTCCTCAGTTTTGGTATCTGTCAAATGATCTAGAGAAGGAAATGGCAAACCACTCCAGTGTCTTTGCCAAGAAAACTCCTAATGGGAATATGAAGAGTCAGACAAGACTGAAATGACTGAACAATATATAAATAACTTTATATACAAAAATTTATATAACCCACTGAACAAATCTTTATTCTTAAGTCTCACCATGGGCTTTCCTGTGTCTACAAAAACATTCAAATCTTCCCCATCCTTAAATCTTCACTTGACTCTTACTATTCCCTCAAACTATCATCCTATTTCTCTCCATTTCCTCACTCCTTAGCCTCTTGACATCTGTCTTCTGATCTCACTACTAATCTGAAATGGCTCTCTCCAAGGTTACTGATGATTGACAAATTAATTGGCTTTTTCTCAGTCCTCATCATTCTTGACCTCCTTTCAGCACCTGCCATTGTTTTTTTAACCTTACTCTCCCTGTACACTCTCTCTTCCTCCCTGACTGCCCCTTCTCAGTCACCTTTGCTGGATCATCATATAAGTGTCACTCACCATGTGTGGATGTACTACTGGGTTCTGTCTTGGACCCCCTTCTCTTCTCTTTCTACACTCTTGATGATTTCATCAGTTTCTATTGGTTCAGTAATCATCTCAATGTAGATGACTCCTGAATTTACACATTCATCCCTGGCCTTTGTCTTGAGCTCCATTTCTGTACTATTATTAAATGCGGGCTGACATTTTCTCCTCAATGTCCCATAGGCATTTAAAATTCAACATGTCCAAAATAGAACACTTTTTGCTTCTAAACCTGCCACTCTTCCTAACCTTCTTCTTTCTGTTGAGTGTTCCAGAATCTTTTCAGTCACCTTAATTCACATCCTTTACTCTACATACCCAAATAGTTGCCAAGTTTTGCTGATTCTCTCGACAAAATCTCTTATATCAAATTATCTTTTCCCCACAATCAACTTGGTTTGAGCCCTCATCATCTTTTTCCCAAATTATTCTAGTAACTTGTTAACTGATCTCCCTTATTCCACTCTCCCAGCTCTAATCTATCTTCCACACAGCTGTCATACTGGTATTCCTAAAGCACAGATTTGACCCCCCCCACTCAGGAAGCTTCCTACTCTCTCTAGGACAAAATACAAACTCTTGTTTGGCATTTAAAGCCTTTCACAACTAAGGGTTGTAGTAACTAGATTTTTTTTCTTTCTTTTTTTTTTTCCCCCTCGAGGCAATTGGGGTTAAGTTACTTGCCCTGGGTTACAAAGCTAGGAAGTGTATGAGGGCTGATTTGAACTCAGGTCCTCTTGACTCTAGGGCTGGTACTCTACCCACTACACCACCCAGTTGCCCAACTAGAAAATGGGCTATAAGTGGAGATGATTAAGCTAAGTCAGATAAAAAAGACAGTGGGTCTAATCCAAGAGAAATAGAAAAAGGATCTGCAAGAGAAGAGAAAAAATATGCCCAAATATCATATGACCAGTTAGAACAAGTAGGTCCTAGTTGTGTAGCTTTTTAGTAAGTAGAACATCATTATTTCTTTGTGAATAATCTTGGACTTTGTCTTGAAAAGTGACTCATTATGCTAGTTTAAAAATTTTGTTGCTATACTTTGCTTTTACATCATTTTCATTTCCAAATACTTCCTCCTCCACTCCCTTCCCCAGAGAGCTATGCTCTGTAACAGAGAATCTGAAAAGGGGAAAAATCAGTTTAGCAAAACTAACAAATCAACCATGTCTTACAGTATATTCAATTTAATGCATTTTTTAAAAAATCTCCAATCTGATATATTCCTTCTTAACCTGGAATCAAAAGCTCTCTACTTACACTATACTTCTTTCTGTCCTGCCTTTGTTGATACCATCTTACTGTTCTGTATATCTGCAAAGACTTACTTTATTCCCTGCTCTATATCTTGATATCTTAACTCTCCAGGTCCAGCTCAACTACCACATCCTTTAAGAAACCCTTCGTGGTCACACTCCTCCTGGCTGGAAATAACTTTTCCTTTCCCTGACTTTCCACAGTGTTTTGTTAAGAGGACTCATTCTATAATATTCTTTGTGATGCTCCTGTTTTATTATGATGCAGAGCTGTTTATATTTGTGTCTTCTTGCTAGACTGTAAAGTCCATGAAGACTGGGACCCTGTCTTAATAATAATAATATTTATATTTTCCCCAGTATCTAGCACAGTGTTTTATACAAAGTAGGTGCTTAATAAATGAATTATGGTTTTGGAACACAGTAATTCCTCTTGCACCTTCTCTAAATTCAACTAATTCTTTTGAAACAGAAGAGTTTATCCAAAAAACAGGAAGCATAAGACAATTTTCAGTTTGCTTTTCAGAGCCTTATGGAGGAGCAGTTAGGTGGTGCAGTGGACAGAGCTCTGGCCTTTGAGTCAGGAGGACCTGAGTTCAAATCTGGCCTCAGACACTTGACACTTACTAGCTGTGTGACCCTGGGCAAGTCACTTAACCCTGATTGCCTCACCAAAAAACAATAAATAAATAAATAAAAATAAAACCTTATGGATAGTTGTGAATATGGATTAAATCAAAATGGTCCTAGCTCTCTATAATGGGTGGCAAGGGGGAATACTGAAAGTACTCAATAGTATCATTTAAAACTGAGTCTTAAGATTTCATTAAGACTTTCTGAATCTACTCACTGAATTGAAGAAATCACAGTGAAAAAGCATAGTTGTTCAGCAAGTTGATTCTAAATCTATGATTTCAAACCCAAATTAGTATTATAGTCATCTAGGCCAGGGGTCAGCAAACTAATTATTTATGAGTACAGTCAGTAGGGCTAAACATACTCCTGATTAGATTGTGAGCTCCTTGAACGCAGGGACTGTCTTTTGCCTCTTTTTATATCCCCGTCACTTAACACAATGCCTGGAGCATAACAGGCACTTAATAAATGTTCATTGGTTGACTGACTTGTCTGTTGGTGCCACTGGGAGAATAAAGGCACAGGCAAAGAGATGAAAAAGGGAGGTGAATATGGCAGAGAATGCAGTCAGGGCAACCAACAATGCTGAGGATGCTACTTAACGTACTCAATACCAGAAACTAAACAACATGGACTGAGGTTTGGAGACCATCCAATTGTCTTTATCTAAATCCACTACATAGGTTGCAATAGTATCAGCCTTATTATTTCTAAAAGCAAAAGCAGATATAAAGCTATTATTATAGTATCAGTTTTAACTTTCTGTAAATCTGCAACTTCTCATTTGGACAACTTGCCAACTTTATAAATGAGTAAGCCAACATTTTTCTCTCTAACATATTTTCTTAAAAGACCTTTGTAATTAAATGATCAGATTCTCCATGAAATCTAGAATGCTTGCATTTGAATCAAAGCAAAGGAATTTGCTTTAATGTTGGTTTATAATGAACTGTCCTGAAACTATTTTAAAGGACATGCACTGTTGCTAATTTAGAACATTCTCAGAAAGGGACTAAAATCCTTTATTTTGCTTTTATAACTGGTTTGTTAACCAGAGATTAAACTAAACGAGCATTGCCCACCACTATGTTGCACTATAAGCTATTATTTATAAGTTTAGTTTCTATTTCTTTGGGCTGCATTTCCTGTATGACCATTTAAAAAAATACTAGAATTACGTGGCAGATATCACAGGGTAGAGCACACTTCTTTGCTTAGTGTTTAGATTTTCTGGCTTCATTACATTCCCAAATCTCTGCATTTTGGCTTGCTTGCAAAATTCATGATGAAATCACTGGCAGTAGAAACAATATGTTTGCTCCTCTCCCACATACCTGTGGCCCAATTTTGCATGTGAGCAATTCCTATTAAACTTCAACAGGCACAGACGGGTGATTTGGGGCACTGTTGATTACATAAGTAGCCGAGGCAGCCCAGAGATGATATTCTACTTGAACAGAAATCTTTCTGAGTGTTGGCAAAACTACAGGTCACCATGAATCAAATCAGACAACACCTGGTTATCAGACCTTATCACTGTATGACTAATACAAGTGATATTACTAACACTGTCTAGAGCTAACTAGTTTAAGAGAAATATACTATTTGGAGACCCTATACAGACTGTGATTTTACAGGTTTAAGGGCATAGCTGGGTTACAAATATTTGTTACTAACTGATCTGTACCATCAGTGAGTACCCACATTGATGAAATAACCCATCTGTTAAAATATTGAGTATAGGGTGATGAATACAATATAGCCTATTCATTTTTCTGGTTATATACACACATATACATACACACATACACACACACACACATACATACATATACACATACACACACATATATGTGTGTGTATATGTATGCATATTAGAAATAAAATCACATGATCGAATAAGAAATGAAAAGCACACTTTATTCACCAAGACCTCTAATGTGTGCATTTGGACAAAGAGAGAAAACTTTAGAAATTTTGGAAAACATTAAAATTAACTTACTGATTTGTTCTACAAGCTTGAGCATGACTCCCCCAATATGTAAGTCTCCAGATACTCTAAGTGTAAATTCTTTTTGTTCTTCTTCATACTGGTGATCAACACGGACAATAAGCTCCCAGGAGGTGGTTCCATAGTCACTGGAAGAAAACATCCTGGCAAACAAAAATTAAAAATCAAGATAATATATTTTTAAAAGTGGAAGTAAGAGAATTTAGCCTATTTGCTATGATCAAAGTCAATTTTTTAAATTCACCCCTCTAAGCTTATTAATCCCTCATCAAACTTTCCAATGCTCCCAATTCCTCAGAATATTCACTTTGGAATCTCATCACATCTTTCACTATTCTTCCCTCCTCCCCTTCCAAATAAGTGCTGGCTATCTCATCTGCATTCATTTCTGACATACCTCTATACTTCCTCCTATCATTCCCAACTCTAGTATCTAGTATCTAGTATCATGTATTTAGCACACATAGTCAAATACTATTTTGCTAGCTGTTTCAGGTGTATCTTGACCACGATCTGCCAGTCCTCATTGTGAAGCACCTTGAGAGCAGGGATCATGTGTTAGGCCTGGCTTAATCAATACTTATTAGTTGGCTAGTTTATCTCTAGAAAGAGATGTCTAAACTAATTTGGCGGGCACCGGGGAGGTTAGCTCTAGTGTGGACAGCTCATTACTGGTCTGAAGGATCCCACATTATCACGAAGCTAGGTTTCCATGTGGCATGGCCCACAGAATTATAGATCAATTTTCCTGTCTTTTTTTTACTCCCTCTACTCTAAATATCTGTTGCTAGGCTAAAACTGGATGTGAGGTAAGTAATCTCTAATTTTTAAAATCCATTTTTGTCCTACAGCTCATTTTAGACTTGGAGACAGCCTTCTTCTCTTCCCACCCTCCCACCTAGCCTTCGAATGAAGCTCACCTTCCATTTACTCTCTATTTATGTTGTATGTATATAATTGACTGCATGTCGTATAGACTATGTGCTTCTTGACCACAGCCAATGTGTTTTTTTTTTCTTTCTTTTTATCTCTATTGCTTAGCACAGTGTCTGGTTCATAGTAAGCACTTAATAAATATTTGTTGACAAGTAACCATCCTTGTATGTAGTCACTTAGATTGTATGTTGTCTTTTTAATACTGGACTGTGGGGCGGCTAGATGGCGCAGTGGATAGAGCACCCGCCCTGAAGTCAGGAGGCCCTGAGTCCAAATCTGGCCTCAGACCAAACACTTGACACTTACTAGCTGTGTGACCCTGGGCAAGTCACTTAACCCCAATTGCCTAAACAAACAAACAAACAAACAAACAAACAAAACAAACAATATCGGACTGTAAGTCTCTCTTTCTCCTCTCCATGGATAGCCATCTTTTGTCTGGCTATAGTTTAATACTAATACCTGAGTAGGCTCATACAGTACTAATAGCCTCATAGGTACTCAAAAGAATAAACAAATAAAATAATAAATGATCTTATAAAGTCAAAGAACAGACTTGAATAAGTTATGAATGGAATAGCTGGCTCTGTACATACATATAAACTATACAAAGCTGACCTTATATAGGTACACATACCTTAAAAAAATTATCTCTTCAGAAAAGAACATTAACTTGACATTAACATAACTGATTTTTGAAAATGAGAACATTCTTTTAAAAAAATTTCCATGTCACTAGTTTTTTCCTGGGTTTGTGATGGCACCTTTAAAAATTCAACAAACATAATATAAGAGAACCAAAGTCACTTCTAGTCTGTTATTGTTATAATAGCATGCAAACATTAATGATAAGACACTTGATACTTTATATTTTGAGCCTTATGGGTACTATTTTATGTCTTATTAAAAAATTAGGGCACTTAAGTCATGAGCAACTTACCCAGCAAAATTATGTTTTTTTGGAGAACTATTCTTATGAGTTGTTAAGTGAGGTGAATGGAGCATTAGCTCTATAATATGTGAAGAGGGGTAAGTAGAAAAACTATATATTTTTTTCTTCATCAAGGAAGCTGTACTATAAGCATTTATGCTATTTAAAATCAATTGTTTCAAAATAATATGAGAAATTTTGAGAAGAGGAATTACTTCTAGATCAGCATATAGGGTAGATTATATTAATTCATCATGAATTCCTTTACTTTCAGGTCTCATGGTCAGAAGAATCCATACACACTCCTTTTCTACTAAAAAAGCTTCTAATGGTATTAAGGCACCTATTCATGTGCCAGGCACTGTTACAAGCACTGGGGATACAAACAGAGGCAAAAGACAACCCCTGACCTCCCAGAGCTTACAGTCTAGATACTTAAAGTAGTATTTAAATACATTTGATTTTTAAACCCTAAGCATATAATGATATTTCAATGAATATGGCATTTTCCACAAGCCTTTCCCCACATGAATTAGAAGTGCATTCAGAACAACAAAAGTGCTTCAGTTCAATATGAATTTATTAAGCACCTTCTGTGAGCAAGGCCTAGAGGATAGAAGAACAAAACCAGACAGTTCCAGTCCTCTACTCAGAGATAAAGTATGTAGTCTGATTAATAAATACAAAGTATAGACAAAGTAATAGCAAGTATTACCAGGTGATTTCAAGGGAGGCCCTAACAACTAGATTTGGAGGGTGGGGGCAGGAAGGGAGGGTGGAATTCAAAAGGCCTCTTGAAGGCAGTAGTCTCCGAGCTGTGCTTTGAAGAAACTAAGGATTCAGTAAGGAAAGGAGACTTTTCCCCCCCTGCTTTAAGGACATGTAGTTCCCTCCCCCCCCACAAAAAAAAATACACCTCAAAGTACACAATGAAAAATCATGACTAGCACTCTGTTCTCCTTTAGAATCACTACCTTAATCCTACCATGAAATCTTGATGACAAAAAAAACCAAAAACAAGCAGTAGTCATGCTGGTTCACAAATGCAAATATGCACAAAGGAAATTATAATGAAGCTCACCTATTTGCAGCAGACTTGAAAAAATATTTGTTAGAATCTAAGTAGTTTGTGTAAGTCCTTAAGTGAAGACTCAGCATCTCAGAGAAAACCCTAATAGGTAACAGATATATTTATATACATACACATAAATGAATATACAACTTACTTATTACATTGAATGGCGTGGATTGAACATAATTTTGTTGATGAAGGAAAATCTCATAGAAAAGATCTTCCACCCCAGGCCTGACTTTGCCAGGACTGATTAAATCTTTACATGGTAGAAGTCTTCAATATGCTAAACATCAAGCTAACAAATAGTGCTTGCCACACAATTACTAATTTATTTATTTTTTTGGTCAACATAAACGCTCCTCCTATGCAATCTGGAATGTTATTTCTCTAAGTAGGGCATTTAAAGAAACAAATAAAATTCTGCAAAGTGGTTTGGTGACATTTTAATTTGTCCCAAGGGAGACAAGACCTAACTTACCCCTATGACCTTCTTTTTCCAGTCTAGGGGATCAAATCATGTTTGATTTATGCACGGCATGATTATTTATTGAAACAAAATTTCAATCTAAAATGAGAAAATCTGGTTCCCCCACATTCCTTTTCTAGCCTTTCCTCTCAAGCCTTCATTTTTGAGTGAACTTTGAACATAATTTCTTCTGTGCAAGTTGTTACTTGTTATGGCAAACAACTTTGAAATTACTGACCCAAGGACTGTTGGGACTGAAAATAAACAAAAATAGGAGACTGTGGCATATGGGAAAAGTGCTGCTTCTGGAATCAGAGGATCTGGGTTCAAATGTCGACTCTTCTGGCTACCTGTATGACCACGGTAAAGTCATGTACCTTTTTCAGTGTCTCCCTTTCCTCATCTACGAAAGAAGGGGACTAGTTCAAATCCCCTCTAAATATAGGTCTATGGCTGATACCCCCTATTCCTGTGTGTAGGTGCTTCTAAAAAGTAGTCCATCACCTTCCTCCACCTGTGTTCACTGGAAAGCGTGAGAAAAAGGGGCCCAAAACACCCCAAGCATTACTTGTTATTCCCATTTTGGGGAAGAGACACCCCAAACCAGAAGACACTCATGGAGGACAGCTAGGTGATATCAGCAAGCTCCATTCACTGGGACTATCTTGGGAAAGGTCTAAGGAGGAGGGCAAGGAGATCTCTAGGCTTTATTTTCATCTATGAAGTGGGATGGTAGGTAACTTATTTGAGGGGCAAGGGATGAAGATAGCATAGTCTGGGACCAGAAGTAAAAAAAAGGCAAGAAAAGTTAGGAAAGGGATGTATAAGATCGTAGCTAAAGCTGGATGGGATCATCAAATCCAGTCCCCGCCCCTCCCCCCCCAATTTAACAGAGGAGGAAACCGAGGTTTTAAAAAGGGAAGAGACTCGCCCAAGGTCACACGGCCGGTACGGGGCAGAGAAGTAGGTAGGCTCCAGACTTCTTTCTGCTACACCAGGTAGCAGTTGCGGGAAACTGCACCCCTTCCCCTCACCCCAGTCCCACTGAAGCCTCCTGACCCCGTAAGAAGTCTCCTCTCCCCTTCAGCGCTCACCTCCTTTCCTGCGAGCTTGTTCTCTCTTGCCTCCCAGCCTCAGCTGCAGCTCCTGGAGAGCGGAGAGGAAGATACCTTCCCAAGTTTGGCACAGTCCCCGGCGGGGCTCGGGAGGAGGCTGGGAGGGTGGGAACAAGAGGAGCTCAGTAGTCCGGTGCACAGCCCCCGTGTCTCCGCCCCCGGGTCCTAGGGAGGCTGGGCCAGCGTCCCTGGAAGGCTGTCAGTCTCGAAAACCCCGACCTGGGCGCAGAGTGGAAGCCGCAGAGCAGCTGCTCCTCAGGGGACACGAGCCCGCCCAGTCTGGCGGGGGCCAGGCGGCTCGTCCCAGATTGTTCTGCGACAGGTAACAACAGGTCAGCTTGGAGAGAGGCCGCACTACCGCCCCCGGGACCTCCCTCTGCGCAACGCCACGCCCCGACGCGAGCCGGGCTGCAGCCCTTTCCTCTCTCAGCGCTGCTAGCAAAAAGTTAGCCTGCAGGGTTGGGGGAGCAGAAGGGTGGGTCAGGAGAGAACCCACCCCGCCCAGCCCAGCCCCAGACGTGCCAAGTCTCATTTCTCTGAGAGAGGAGGCGCCTTCTCCAGACTCCTTTCTGGGCATAGAGTGGGCAAAAGAAAACCCTCATGACCCCGATTTCTATCTAGGGATGGAAAGGCTGGTTGGACGTGGTCGTCTCAGGTCCCCCCTTCCTCTTAGCAGTTCTCTCCTCTCGGTCGCTCCAAATTTTCCTTGAGACCTTGGGTAGTTGGGATTGAGTTTCTGAAATTCTGCCAAAGATGCACCCTGGTGATTCAAGTTTGGCTACTTTGCGCATCCTCCAGCCACAGATTTTCACTGGATTCTTTCTAGAGGGCTCAAAAGCCAGTGTTGTTTTTGCCTTGTTTTTCTGACTGCTGGTTCCACTCTTGCTCAAAGACCGTTCCCTTCCTCGAGACCAAAACTGGTTGAAAGGGCAATGACCATTTTCATATCCAGGAGGCTGTTATTTTTATTTTCTTTTTTTTTTGCGGGGGGGAGTGAGGGGAAGGAAAAAAAAAAGCCAAGATCCATCTGAGTAACAAAATGACGTAAATTCCACCTCCCTCCGCCGTCCCAACCCAAATGTGGGGTGTAGTCCTTTTTAGACAGGAGGGGAGCAACAAAGGAGGGAAATGTACAACTGCTTTGTCAACTCACCGTCTGTCTCTCCCCCACACCCCTCAAAAAAAAAAAAATCCAATGAAGTAATGACTCCAGATTTCCTGTGATGGCTCATCCAGTGAATTTGCAAAGTCCGGACATCCCCGTTCTATCTTTGTCACTAATCACTCCTTAACTCCCTTCTGCAGGGTTAGTAGTTCGTCTGTCAAATTCTAGAGCTCTTCTGGTGATCTAATCTAGTTTCAAATGGAGTTTACCTTCACTTTTGGCTGTGCTGAGGCTGTTAAATTAATCCAGCTTGCTAGATCATTTTCATGTAGGGTCTGCTGTTCCTCTAATATTATAAGGTGTAGTGATTTAGCATCAAAGATATACTAACCAGGTAGCTAGGTCCGGATTAATGTTAGAATAATGAGAAATTCGATTTAGTGCAAATTATAAAATACTAGGTTGCATTTAATGAGAGGCTGAAACACAGTTGCTTAATCTTCACTGTGCACTTACCTATCACTGGCTATGGATGTGCTGTACTGTTATAATCATATTATCAAATGTTGCTTTTATTTATTTTTTATTTTTTAAAGATTTTTTCTTTTAGAAAAATGCTAAAACTTAAATACATAATAAGAAAAGAGAAAGAAACATTGTAAACTTAAATATAAAATAAGAAAAAAACAAAAAAAGTAATGTACACAGCAGAACATAGGAGAGGATTCAAATTATATAGCCATACCTTTTCATTTCAAGAAAGTCTATATATTAAATACTGATCATTATGTTGAAAGTTGTCCATCTTTTCTTTGCTTCCTTGTAGGTTTTCTTTTGTTCTCTGCTGTACACTTTTTACTTTGTTCTTTTTCCTCCTCCCTCCTCCCTCCCCACCACCCCAAGGCTACAGTTGAGCTTTGGATATATTTATATATAGGTATAGATACATACATACACTTATACATATATACACATACATACATACATACATACATACATGCATACATACACATATACTTTCCCTAAGAGATTCTATTCCTAATCTTTGCTGTTTTTATTTTTTTAAAAAATAACCCATAACAAAATGGATAAAGGAAGAATACTTAAGATGAAATCAATGATAGCATAAGAAAGAAGTCATTTTATTACATTAGAATAAAAGTTTTATGTTATTAAACAGTATAAATGTGGTTATAGTAACTTTAAAATGGGAGTAGGTTGGAATGGCTGGATCTACAGCACAAAATACTATGAAACATGTTGAAGTAAAAGAAAAAAAACTAAATTGCTTCAGCTTTTTGTGCTTTGTAAATAACTACAAGAAACACCAGTGTTATGACAGTCAATAGCCAATGATAATAAATATATATTAAGTGCCTACTAAGTTCTAGGGATTAAAAAGATAAACTTTGGAAAGCAGTCTGGAATCAGGCAAATAAAATGACTAAGATTTCTAGACCTTTGAGTCAGAGAAGCCTTTATGGGACTTACATCCCAAGGAAGCTATCTATAAGAAGTTAAGTCCCCGTATACACAGAAATATTTATAGCAGCACTTTTTTTGTGATGGAAAAGAATGAGAAGTTGAGTAGATACCCATTAATTGGGGAATGTTTAAACAGACTGTGGTATATGAATGTGATGGAATATTACAAGGCTGTGAGAAATGATGTACATGATGAATACAGAGAAGCATGGAAAGATCTACATGAACTGATGCAGAGTGAAATAAGCAGAGCCAAGAAAACAAGAATACACAATAACCATAAAAATGTAAATGGAAAGAACAATCACACCAAAAAATCAAAAGTGAATGTAACAAAGTCAAAGATCCAGCATGCCTCTAATGAAGAGATATGAGAAGACACCCCTAACCTACTATTTCATGGAGGTTGAGGTCCAGAGGTGTTACACATCACACGTTTTCAGACATTTTCAATGTATGGATCAGTTGTTCTGGGTTTTTTTTTCCCTCTCTTTGAAAAAGTACTATTTGTTACCTGGGATGACTTTCAAGAAAGAAGAAAAGGAAAGATACTGGGGTTAACTATGCTGATGGAAGAAACAGAAGATATTGATAAAAACAAAAAAAAAAAGGAGGAAGGGGTAAAGAAAGGTAAAAGATAGCCCCTGCTCTCAAGGACTTCACAATCTAATGGGGGGGGGAGACAACGTGCACATAGCTATGTACAAATAAGCTATATAGAGGATAAACAGGAAAATAATCAACAGAGGGAAGGCACTAGAATTAGGAGATCTAGAAAGTTTTCTTGTAGAAGGTGATGTTTTAGCTGGGACTTGAAGGCAGGAGGCAGAAATGAGGAAGGTCAGCATTCTTTGCATGAGGGACAACCAGTGACAATTCCCTGAGTAGGGAGATGGAGTGTCTTTTTGGAAGAGCAGCAAGAAGTCCAGTGTCACTGGACCAAAGAGTCCTTAGGGGAGTGGGGTGTAAGATTGGAAAGGTGAGAGGGGGCAAGACTTTGAATGCCAGAGGATTTGTATTTAAAGGTGATAGGAATCCACTAGAGTTTACTGAATAGAGTGTCATGGTGACCTGGACAGACCTGTGCTTTAGGAAGATCACTTTGACAGCTGAGTTGACAGTGGACTAGAGGGGCCAGAGACATGTGGCAGGCAGACCCATTAGGAGGCTATTGCGATAGTTCAGGCATGAGGTGATGAGGGCCTTTTCGTAGTCGTAGTGTCAGCAGAGAGAAGAGCCATATGCCAGATATATTAAGAAAGTAAAATTGATAGGCTATAGCAACAGATTGGATGAGGGGGATTAAAGATAGTAAGGAGGTAAGGATGACACCTAGGTTGAGAGCCTGGTGGCCTGAGATGATGTCAATGCCCATGAAATGGAATGTTTTTGCTGTATGGATTGCAAATAAAAACACATTCATCTTAGCAATGCAGCCATTTGGATAAAAGCTTCGAGGTTATGTAAAGCAGTGATCAAAGATTGAAATTAAGGACTGAAGAAACTTTTACTGTAAGCTTTGGTTGTTTTAATGACTTTAAAAATTGAACTATGCCCAAAGGGCTATAAAAATGTGCATTCACTTTGACCTAGCAATAGCACTTCTAGGGCTGTATCCCAAAGAGATCATAAACATGGGAAAAGGACCCATATGTACAAAAATATTCATAGCAGCTCTTTCTGTGGTGGCAAAGAATTGGAAATTGAGGGGATGCCCATCAATTGGGGAATGGCTGAACAAGTTGTGGTATGTGAATGTAATGGAATACTATTGTGCTATAAGAAATGATGAGCAAATGGACTTCAGAAAAACCTGGAAAGACTTGTATGGACTAATGCTGAGTAAAGTGAGCAGAACCAGGAGAACGTTGTACACAATAACAGCCACATTGTTTGATGACTAACCTTGATAGACTTAGCTCTTCTCAGCAATGCAAGGATTTAAGACATCTCCAAAAATCTCATGAAGGACAATGCTATCCACATCCAGAGAAAGAACAATGGAGTTTGAATGCAGATCGAAGCATACTACTTGCTCTTTTTTTTCTTCTGTTTTGTTTTGTTCCTTCTTTCTTGTGGTTCCTCCTGTTGGTTCTAATTCTTCCTTACAACATGACTAAAATGAAAATGTTTAATAGGAATGTATGTGTCAAGCCTATATTAGATTGTATGCTGTCTTGGGAAGGGAGATGGGAAGGGAGGGGGAGAAAATTTAAAACTCAAAAGCTTATGGAAGTGATTGTTGAAAACTAAAAATAAATTAAAAAATTATACTGTTATGAAAATGCTTGTTTTATCCCACAAGTTAAAAATTAAATAAAAATTTAAAAAAAGTATACTTTCAGAACTTATATTTCTAAAAAACAAAAAAATTCAACCTGAATTTGGTGGTGGAGTGGATAGAGCACTGGGTTTGGAGTTAGGAAGATCTGAGTCCAAATCTGGCCTTAGACCCTTACTAGTTGTGTGATCCTGGGCAAGTCACTTAAACCCAATCCGCCTAAGTTCCTCATCTGTAAAATGAGGACACATTGGAGAAGGAAACGACAAACCACGTCAGTATCTTTGCCAAGAAAACCCCATGTATGAACATGGGGTTATGTAAAGTCAGACACTACTGAAAAATAACAAAAAACAAAAGATTGAATACTATTTTTTATTGGGAGGTAAATGCAGAATGCATCAAGTTCTGACAGGGCAGGGATGGGGAACCAGCGTCTTGAGGCCAC